CCCCATAATATTATAAAACACACATATACCCATCTCTGAGACAGCCACACAACTACCTTATTGGCCCTGGTATTCCAAATTCGGATGATAGAATCTCGGCCGGCCGAGTACAGTCTCTGGAGGTAGGGGTCAAACTGCAGGGCATTGACCCCAGACCTATGGCAGCGCTCCACCTCATCTCGTATCACAAACGACACCTGTCCACACAAATACACAAGGAAATTTCAAACCATAAAGCAAAACATCAACCCCGCCCTAAATGGAATGGTCCAAAGCGCGACAAATTAATATCCAGTTATGCTTAGCCTAATATATAGGCCTATAGCAATATCATAGTTCTTTTAAAGACAGAGGTACTACTTCCTATAAACAAAGCAAATGCATAAATCAATATTTCTTTGGCAAAATGCTATTTTACCTTTTGAATATCAATCCGTAAATTAAAAAAAGTCCAGGTTGTGTACAAGTCGCAAGTTGTGGGTATTTGGGAGTGTAAAAGAATAAAGAAGGGGAAACGGAACCATAATGTTGTACACCAACATATTATTAGATTTATGGACAGAATGAGCTGAAAATTGGAAACATGTTTTTGGGGCAAGAAAATTGAGGATGAAAGAAATTTGTAATGTTTTAATCTCAGGATCCAGATAATTACAAGCAATTAATTAATTCATTATGCCCATATCAATTTTTTTTACAATTAACCCTGGCTGGGGCGAATCCACCGTGTTTTTGTACATTTATGTGGGGCGTGTGGTATTGCTACACAATGCCATGGTTCAAATAATAAATTCATAATATAATAAATATATGGCATAAATATGCACTACATCTCTAGATCTAGCTGCAAAGTTCAAAGTAGGCTCCAAGCCCTTTACAATATACCACAGTAGCACATAATCATTTATTTGATAGTTTAGACAGAATACACCATTACACAGGTAACAAGAACAATTTGAGAGCAAAACATTCGGAAACTGAATTTCTTCCCTTTCGAACCCCAGATCATTCGTAACAAAGAGCGTCTAAAAAGGTATTCGAATGGGCGTAAATACTCGTAATGTTATCAGCTTATGAGAGGGGGTCATTCATGTCTTCGTAACAACACTACTTTATAGGAATTCCGAATAGAAAGCTTTAAAAGATAGTTACAATTTCATCATCGATTAACACACTCCTGCCATGGCATGGTAGACCTCCTATTCATGGCGAAAACACCCGTCTCCAATGCTGCTCGCTTTACACAAACAATGGTACGACTTCCGTAATGAGCGACCACTATGAGACAGATCAGAATTGAGGGCTAGGGGTAGGGGTAGATCTAGATCTTGGTGAAGGGGTAGGGGTAGGGGTAGGCCTGAGGGTTTGGGTTAGGGTTTGGGTTTGGGTTAGGGTTTGGGTTAGGGTTAGGGTTAGGCCTCTTCTTTATTGTGTTTGATGGGGTGGTCGCTCGTTATGGAAGTCCTTCCCAAACAATAAATAATTTGTATTGTATTTTTTTGTTTGAAGGCCACTCAGCTTACCTGAACCTTCTTACGGCCTTGCGTTGTGGCTCCTCTATGCAGCGACATTATGAATGTATAGTCAGTTTAGTAACTACACAATTATAATTAAACACGCATGCTCTTCACACCTTCAAAGACCCCCAAATTAGGAGCAGTGGAGTGATTTTTAATTCAGTGTAAGTGTAAAGCTTTGAAAGACAAATCTCATCTGCTAGTGAGAGGTATCACATTAGACAGGAAGTCAAAATTACAGGGTCAAAACATTAGCCTTGAGCCAAATGGATTATTCCTTTTCAACTTTACAAATCTGTGCAAACAAATATTTTAGGCCTACAGACGTACCTGGGGGTTTTGTGTTTTTTAAAAATAGATTTATAAAATACGGCATAATTATATTTTTGTCCACTATTGCAATTCTTCTTCTTATGTTTCGTTTGTTTCTGAACGGAGATACAACTTTTGATACATTTTCTGCGAAGTTGATATAGACATTTTTAGCTTCTGTAGCAACGATTTGAGGGTAGGAAGCTTGCGTCAACATGCCACCCAAGAAGAAGAAGGGAAAGGGGAAGGGAAAAGGGAAGAAAAAGGGAAAGAAGAAGGATGGTAAGTTGTACTTTGTAGTATTATTTACAGACATAGCTGCCGAGAAAAATAATGGTAAATTTCGTCATGACTGATCGTCACTTAATCAACTTACTTAAAATGCCATAATATTTTGACTTCTATCTTCTTTAACATGGTTACCTATATTATATAGATCTATAGCTTGATAATAATGTGTTTGAAAACCATGGAGTGGAGTGGCCAGTTTTGTACAGGTGCTTGTCTTGCACTGGTGCTTATTAGAGCAGGGTCGACTGTATAAATTTGTTTTTGTGGGTGGATAGAAGCAAAGGAAAGTCAATGTGAGTTTGTCTTTGACTGTTTTCCTTAGAGAAATATGACTGCTTGGGATGGTGTAAAAACAAATAAATAAATATGTGTCACAACACGGTGGAATCAGGCGCTCGTCAATTATTGGGCATATGGTGTTATTGGTATCATCTTAAAGCCTGGTCATTTGCCTTCCTTTAGGTGAAAAAAATATCCATCTATGTTAAACGGAAGTTGAAATATTTGCGATTGAAGGAGGTCAGTGTCTCCTTGTTTCAGAGGAAAAATTAACGAGAAAATGACCGCCAAAGTTCGGTAATTTCCATAGCCTGAGAGTCGTTGGAAACTGAAAATGTACTTTGTGTGTGTGTTTGTAGTCCAGGTTTTTCCAGTAAAATTCTTGTGTGTGTCTGTAGTCCAGGTTTTTCCAGTAAAATTCTTGTGTGTGTCTGTAGTCCAGGTTTTTCCAGTAAAATTCACACAAAATGTGGTTTTAAAAGGCATAAAAGGTTTTGAGGCAAAAAACAGAAAACTAGAAAAATGTTCCTCATCGGCAAAAAAGAGGCAATTTCTTTGACATCAGTATTTTGACGAGCGCCGGAATTCTGAAATATATATATTATATAAAAATACATTATAATATATATTTATATATTATATATATTCTTAGCTGACTTAGTCCGAGGAATTATTTCTTTAATTCTCCTTGACCTTAATTGTGTACAAAATTACTGACTCCTGTTGTACTGTAAAGTGTTGAGTTGTGATGTGTTGTGTCCCTTCCACAGACGCACAACTGGAGCTGGAGGACAAGTACAAGAGAACCATGGATGAAATCAACGCCCTCAAAGACCACCTGGGTGAGACGTTCATGTTGTTCTACTCTTGTGGATAGAAGTGAGAAATAAATGAAGAGCATGAATGTGCGCTATATATAGATAAATGCTGTCATTATTGATTCTTCTCTTTGTGGCACAGGACTGAAAAGTCAAGGACACGAGCGGTTCATGATGGATTAGGGCTCGGTGATATCTTTTTGTCTTGTTTTTTCTATTTCCAGCAATCCGACGAGAGTTCACGAGACGGGCAAAGTCGGCCAGCGCGGACATGGCCAAAAAAATGGAAGAGGCGGAAAAAGAGCTGGAAGAGCATAAAGATGACCAGAAAGCTATTAATGCAGGTAAAGTGCAATGTTGTGCACCGCAAGCAAAATTGGATGGAAAAATAAAGAAAATGAAGGGAAAAGAAGACTGCAATGTTCACATTGACGAGAGAGGCTGATCTATGACGTTACACAGTTACAGACACTTCAATGATCACAGACGGTCACTACTTGGCACAGACGGTCACTACTTGGTTAATCTGCCCCCACTCAGGTGTTTGTTCCGTAAATTCTTAAATTGTGATCTGAAATTTGGGATCTTAGCCGAGCCGAACGTAGTCCTTCTGAGCGGGATCTTAGGAAGGATTTTTGTGAAGCAAAACTTCTGGGCTTTTTAACCCTATTACTGTCAAGTGCCGATTAAATCGGCACTTTCTGCGTGGTCTGTCTGTTAGTGCCGATATAATCGGCACTTACGGAAATGCGTCTTATATAGCTCTGTTTAATGGAAGAGGGAAAAGAGCGAACTCTTTTTGCTACGAAGTGCTTCCTGTGCCTTTTATAACTCTTTTGGAGTAGGAAACTACATTAGGATGATCTAGAGAGCTCTTGTTTACTAAGCGTAAATAGTGTGAGCAAAACAAGTCAGTCAGGCACGAGTAGCCAGTCCGAGATGGCTGGTCCAAGTAAACGTGCACGTCGGAATATTTTTGAAGCTTTCAATGATGCAAGCGACAGTGAATCCGATGATGATTTCAATGTTCAAGATATTGGTAGAGTAGCAGAAAATTCTAGTGATGAGGATTCTGAGGATGAGTATGAGCAGCCATGCACCTCTGAACCTAGTACTAGATCTGAGCCAGCTGGATATATTCAGCGTCGTGGGATCAAGATACAAAAATGAAAATTGTGTGAACTTGATAGGATTCTACGTAATGTTGAGAATGCCTGTAATGTAAGTAGAAATGTTTGCCTTTATTCCTCTCTGTTCATTTTTTTCACCATGTACTTTATCAGTTTTGAATTCTGCTTTGTTGTGTTTTACGAAGTTTGTCTTTTTCCTTCTGCCTGTATCAGTTTTGCACTTTATGAACAAAATACGAGTAATGAACAAAATACGAGTAATGAACCCCTGACACTAGAGATTTCTGGACAGCTTGGTTTCTTTACAATCCATAGACACAAAACAAACTTGGATTTGAAGTCATCTGAATGAGTTAGGGGGTATCTCAAATGAGTCACCCGTATAAAATGGCGGCCATCTTGGATTTCTTGGTATCCATGACAACAATAATTATCAAAATTTTATTCAAATGTGTTTTGGTCCTATTTGTTCATCCAATTACCTTTCAGAAAATATATGATTATGGGGGTTTTAAATCTCAAATAAACCCAGAAAATCAATCTGAAAACAGACACCTGTGTTCACCTCAAATGCCTGTGACCGTTTTGAAGTTTACCATGGACAGTAATAGGGTTAAACTACGGGATCTTGAGCGAACCAGGATCATATTCAAAGTGTTGGGATCTTAGTATGAGACTACTGTATTAACATAACATATATATATATATATATATAATATATATATATATATATAATCTATATTTGATGGTCTAGCAGTGGAAGAAATTATCCAGATTAGAAAAATCATTTTTGTGGACTAAACAAGATTTTGTCTGCGTGTGTTCCCCGTGGCAGACATGACGCGCCAGTACAAGACCATGCAGACAGAGATGGGGCTGAGGATACACCAGCTGGAGACGGAGCTGGGCCGGACAAGGACGCAACTTAGTGAGATGTGTTTTGTGAGATGTGTTTTGTGAGATGTGTTTTGTGAGATGTGTTTGTGAGATGTGTTTTGTGAGATGTACTTTGTGAGATGTGTTTTGTGAGATGTACTTTGTGAGATGTACTTTGTGAGATGTGTTTTGTGAGATGTACTTTGTGAGATGTGTTTTGTGAGATGTGTTTTGTGAGATGTGTTTTGTGAGATGTGTTTTGTGAGATGTACTTTGTGAGATGTGTTTTGTGAGATGTGTTTTGTGAGATGTGTTTATTTTGTGAGATGTGTTTTGTGAGATGTACTTTGTGAGATGTGTTTTGTGAGATGTGTTTTGTGAGATGTACTTTGTGAGATGTGTTTTGTGAGATGTGTTTATTTTGTGAGATGTGTTTTGTGAGATGTACTTTGTGAGATGTGTTTTGTGAGATGTGTTTTGTGAGATGTACTTTGTGAGATGTGTTTTGTGAGATGTGTTTTGTGAGATGTACTTTGTGAGATGTGTTTTGTGAGATGTACTTTGTGAGATGTGTTTTGTGAGATGTGTTTATTTTGTGAGATGTGTTTTGTGAGATGTACTTTGTGAGATGTGTTTTGTGAGATGTGTTTTGTGAGATATACTTTGTGAGATGTGTTTTGTGAGATGTGTTTTGTGAGATGTACTTTGTGAGATGTGTTTTGTGAGATGTGTTTTGTGAGATGTGTTTATTTTGTGAGATGTGTTTTGTGAGATGTACTTTGTGAGATGTATTTATTTAGTAAGATGTATTTAGTAAGATGAAGTAGTTTAGTAAGATGTATTTAGTAAGATGTATTTAGTAAGATGTATTTAGTAAGATGTATTTATTTAGTGAGATGTATTTATTTAGTAAGATGTATTTAGTAAGATGAAGTAGTTTAGTAAGATGTATTTAGTAAGATGTATTTAGTAAAATGTATTTAGTAAGATGTATTTATTTAGTAAGATGTATTTCTTTAGTGAGATGTATTTATTTAGTAAGATGTATTTATTTAGTGAGATGTATTTATTTAGTAAGATGTATTTATTTAGTAAGATGTATTTAGTAAGATGAAGTAGTTTAGTAAGATGTATTTAGTAAGATTTATTTAGTGGTTGTTTAGTAAGATGTATTTAGTAAGATGTAGTTGTTATATGAAATCACTGAAGTAGAAGGAGAATACCACTCCCACCCCCACCCCCGCCCCAAAGAACTATATTTTGTACTATTAAAGTTGGAAAACTTTGACTCCCAAATATCCATGTGACATAAATATTTGACATAATTATCTCCCTCCCCCCCTCTCAACAACTTTGAAAACCCTCTAAAGTTCCGAGTGTGAACCAAAGAAAAAAAAGATTTGTCTTCGTCCAATAAGAGTTCAGGGAAAACAAGCTACTTTAGTTTGACTTCCATTTTTGTTGCGCTCCTGAAAAGACGGCGTACGTACACCTTTTCTGATTTCTTCAGGTTCAACAGAGGCCGAGTTGAGGAAAAGCTATGAAGATCGTAAAAAGATGATGGAGGAAAGGGAAAATGAAATTGTGGATTTAAAATTGAAGATTGATTCAATGGAACAAGCTTATGAAAATGTGTTGAGGGTAAGTAGAGATCATAAGATTGCATTTCCCTTTTCTTCTTTTTTGTGGCAGAATATCATCGGCAAGCTATCTCATTGTCCCAGGCTATCTCTTGTTTGGTAACTTTCCAGCACGATGATGATTAGAATAAGATGATGGATGATGAAGAAGAAGAAGAAGATGATGATGATGATGATGAAGAAGAAAAAGAAGATAATGATGATGATGATGATGATGAAGGAGAAGACTATGATGATGATGATGATGAGTTCCTAGAGTACAGTAGAGGGTTGTTTGACCACGCCTTGTTTGACCAGCAAATGTCTAGTGTGTGGTTTGACCAGCAAATGTCTGGTGTGTGGTTTGACCAGCAAATGTCTGGTGTGTGGTTTGACCAGCAAATGTCTGGTGTGTGGTTTAATCATGTGTGGTTTGACCAGCAAATGTCTCGTGTGTGGTTTGACCAGCAAATGTCTGGTGTGTGGTTTAATCATGTGTGGTTTGACCAGCAAATGTCGCGTGTGTGGTTTGACCAGCAAATGTCTGGTGTATGATCGGCAGGAGGCCCTGGACACTCTGATGCAGAAGCTGGACGTGGCCAAGGGTCAGTGGGAGGAGCAGTCGGCCATGATACAGACCAAGAACAAACAGACGCTGCTCGAGTTCGGCCTCAATCCACTCGACGTCTGACGGCTCAACTGACGGGCCAGACGTCTGGCGGCTCAACTGACGGGCCAGACGTCTGACGGCTCAACTGACGGGCCAACTGGACATGTGGAGAACCCCTGTATGGTATCGTGGGGAAATCAGGCGCTCGTCAAAATAATGACATTGTCAGAAGAAACAGCCACGTTTTCATCCGTTGGATTTTCATCAATTTTTATATTTTTTTAGGAACTCATTTTTCCCCTCCACTTCAAATTGTGATGGCGAACTGCAACAGTTCAAATGGAAAATTTTGTGGAAATGAAGGGCTATGTGTAAAAAAATGAAGGGCTATGTGGCTATGTGTATCTTGGGACACAGATGAGAATGTGTCAGAAGTAATGACAACTTAGAAGGCTATAAAATTTGATCAACGATTCAAAATTGGTGTAACATTGTGGGTTGCTATGAATGCACATTATAAATAGAGATATGGGCATCGGTTTGATCATTTTGAGAAAGTCACATTTCTGTCAAAGATATTCTATAATGTTATTATTTCTTGTTAAGTTCAGAGGTAAGTGAAAACAAATGTCTCAAGTGTACCCCTTTTACGACAACCGAATATATACATGCATGTCTCAGTATTTTACTGACCAGCGATATGTCTCAGTATCTTACTATATACCAGGTACCGGGGGAAATCATCAATCATATCCGGCAAATGTAACACTTGACTTGTACATTATTAACTGATCTAGTTGTCCACTTTCTTTTTCCGGAATAATGACTTGTTGTCTAAAAGATGGGATAAGATTTCATTCTCTACTGGTAAATTTCTGATCTCCTGACAGCATTGAGTCAACGGCTGTCTGTCACGTCGGTGCCACTCACAGAGGACGCCGCACCCTCTTAGTCTTAGGGGAAGTTTTCTTTCAAAAAGATTGCAGTCGGACAGATAGACGTGACCACATGTTGCATCAGGCTGAACTTATGACCTTCTGGTTGCTTCTTAACAACGCAAAAACTCTCCCCAAACCGCGGCTGTTCTTTGCAAGGGTATTCCATTGTTCCTTCCTTGTATTCTTTCCCTATCTTATCAACTGATGTCTCCAAAACGATTTCATTTAAGGCAACTTTGCTTTTGTCAACATTGTCAATGTAATAAATGTGTGTGTTTATGTCAACATTGTCAGTGTAATAAATGTGTGTGTTTATGTCAACATTGTCAGTGTAATAAATGTGTGTGTTTATGTCAACATTGTCAGTG